AACATCACACTACTATCTAGTTTTTTTTCTGAGTATAATTATTAAATTCAATCAAGACCGATTTACCAAAATCTTAGCAAAGAGATCCCAGGGAAAACTAAGTTTACTTTGATTTCCCGTTTTAATACAAGATCTCACTATGAAGGCCAGGCTGGCCTAGAACTTCCATCTCTACCTCTCACACATTCTGAGATTACAGCTGTTTTACCACCATGCCCAGTATAAATTCCTTGATTTTAAAAATCTCTTAAATCGCAGAGAGAATGTGTGTTAGTTGTCTTCCTTAATCACTTTTTAGTCTTATTTTTTGATCTCTCACTGAACCTGGAACTGTTTTCTGATTAACAAGTCCCAAGATACACCTGTGTCCATATTGCCCCCCACCCCACCCCCAACATCCCCCAGGAGTTTCAGGCACACACTGGCATACCCTGCTTTCTCAGGAGTGATGGTGATCTAAACTCTGGTCCTCATGCTTGTATAGCAAGCACTTTACTCACTAAGCCAACTTCTCAGCACCCCCACAATCCTTAACAGGCCTTTGTCCTTGGTAAACAAACATTTGTTGAAATGTTTGTTCAGACTTAAGAAATACAGGGTCAGTGAAACAGCTCAGTGACCAGGAGCGCTACTAATAACCTAAATTCCATCACCCAGGTCCCACCAGATGGAAAGAGAACAAACTTTGTAAGTTGTCCTCTGACCTCCACACATGCCATGTCCACAACACACAATCGCACACAAGCCTGCAAGCACACACATAAATTTAAAAAGTATTAAGAAAAAAACCCACAAAAACTGTAAACAATTATATTTAGTAAGAGTTAAAAACTAGTAACTTCAGGGACCTGCCGCAGCAATTTCAAAGAACATAAAGCTCTCCCAGGACCCGAGTTTGATTGCTAGCTCCCACACTAGGTGGCTCACAACTGCCAGTAACTTCCAGCTCCAGGGATCCAATGTCCTCTTCTGGACACCAGGGCATGCAAACACCTCCATACCCCCCCCCCCCGCCCCGACCGACACACACACACACACACACACACACACACACACACACACACACACAACATTATCTACTTAGAGATTCTGAAGATGCTTCAATACAAGGTGCACTTCACTATTCCATCACTCCCTCAGGCTCCCAAGCTTCAATGCTCTGGCATGTGTCCTGAGCATTTTAAGTTAGGAGTATATCAAGGAGTCCCAACTTTTCTCAAGAACTATATCATTTCATTTACTTTCTCCTTAATGGACAATGCTTTTGAGCACAACTGTTTTAGAAATGTGAAATTATTCTCACACAAATGGAAAGGGGTATAGTAAGAATAAGGCAAAGATCACAAAATTTGAAGTCAGCAAAATTTTTTCTTAAAATTTAAAAAAATTATTTTAAAAGTGTTTTGCCTACATGCATGTATATGTTCCTGATGCCCAAAAAGTTAAGACCAGGGCATCAGATTCCTTGGAACTGTAGTTATGAATAGTTTTGAGGCACCATGTGGGTGCTAAGACTTAAACCCAGGTCCTCTGCAAGCTAACATGTACTCTTAACAGCTGAACCATCTCTTCAGCCCCACAAAATTCAATTTTCAACCCTGTCTGACTTGTGACTGAGAAAATCTAACCTTCAGGTGCCCCCACTTCCCAAATCTACATGTGTCTCTGTAAAGCTTCCTAATAGTGACAGTACACATGTGTCCTACGGGGTGCATCTATAATCTGTAATCGAAACATTTAGACTAACTGAACCCACATACTCATTAAATGTTTAATATACATTAAAAATAAAATTATAATTAAGTCTAAATCTGTCACTTTAAAAACTAGTCAATATCAACAATTTCTGAAATAAGAGAGCCATCCCTGCATGTTTCAATAAAACAGATGTATGACTGTTAAATAAAAAGCCTAAAAAATAAAAGGCCAGCAAGGTGGCTCAGTGGCTGAATCTAGGACCCACACGATGGAGAGAACTTACTCCTACAAGTTGTCCTCTGTGCCCCTGCATGCCCTCCCCACACACACACTGTAAATAGAGAAAACTTAACACACTATTCTATACACATGGTAACTCTTCTACAATTCTATTCATTTTATCTAGGTATCTGTCATTGTTAACATGGGACCTTTAGATCACTAAAGAAACTTTACATAACCGGTGATTCCAATTTAGAAAACATTTAAACACAGAATTTGTTCAGAGGAAAGGAAATTAAGATCATCATTCTAGGAAAACAAGTGATTAATCTTTTAAAATTCTGTAATACATAAAAATGTCAAATAGTAATTTCTTGTGTTAAAACAACAGGGCAGCACAATGATACATAAGACATCTATTCTTGTTTGTGACTTGTAGGTTTTATTATTCACTACCTACAACATTTCCTTTTTGCTACTGAGTCAAAGTTGCCCAGTATATTTGATTTCCTCTCAAAAGACACAGAGTAAAAACAGTTACAACAGAAAACATAAAGACTTTAAAATAAGAAGACCAGATGAGGGTTTGGAAAAAGAGACACTGCCTTTGTAACATGGGGAAAGTGAGAACAAATCTGCTCTTCCAGTATTAAGGGTTTATGTTTATAAAACAGTGATGCTTCCAGAAAGTGAATCTCAGTGTTACACAACAGAAAGCAATAAAAAGGCCAACAGGAAAAAATAATTGCAACAACAGTATCATAATAGTCAAACCCCAACCACATAAGCATACACTTGTCTCTGGTCCAGATGATTATTTTTACATAAAAGAAGTAAATACAACTAATCAAAGCACGGCACAATGTTAAACAAGCCATAATCGTGAGTGTCAAGCTACCATGGAAATTTCCTTAGGGACTATGCAGCCCAACTCCCACATCACTCAGAAGAAACTGAGGCCCTCTCTTGCAACACACCTAACATTACCAGTGACTGCCAGGGCTCAGAAAGCTACCATTCTTTGTTCACCAATCTCCCCTCATGCAGCCTCCGCCTTTCTAAGCACTTTATATACCATAAACCACAATTTTAAAATGGTAAAATTTGTCAGATCTAACAAAAGCATCCTGGCAGTCAAAACAGAAGTAAACACTTCATAGCATAGCACTCACTGTTCACACAAATTAAGCAATAATCCAGAAAGAAATCAACAAACAAAATGTTCTAAACAAAGGGGAAAAAAGCCTTTAATATTTTGAAAATTTCAGCCACTTAGATCAAGGAACATAAGGTTTGAAATAGCGAGCACTTCTTTGGATCTACGGCAAGAATAATGTTCGACGAGGCCTATCTTTGTGTAGGCTCTTTACAGCCAAATCATTTAGCAGATTTCTGTTGCCATACTCGTTTCCCATTAAACAGTAGCTGATTTATCAAGATTCTTATCAGACCCCAGTTCTGAATTCGTTCAGAATCCTATCGCCAGGTTGTTTATATCCTCTTCCATGCTTGTCACTAGGATCTGAAGCCCCTTCCTTCGGAGCCAATCAAAAAGAACCTGCTTAGGCTGTAAAACCTCCTGCTTTAGGTTTAGGGCCTAAAACACAGACCGTACTTCCAACTGACACCATCGTTCGTTGCATTTTATTTTTACCCCCTTCACACACGTAAACTTGACGCATGCCATTAATCTGAGCTACAATTCAAAAGCCCCCTACTGCCATTTGTAATAATTTTCTATACAACCGATCTGCTTAACGCTTTGTTTTACCCTAGGAAAAGTGGGGGTGGGCAGGAGCAGAAGCCTAAGGTGGTTGGTTAGTTTGCTAACTGCAGGTGCAAAATATAAGCCAATTTTCTTCAAAATGCTAAACAACATGTTTTAAACCCTTGTTTTCAACAAAACTTCAAGTAACACCAACCCGGAAACAGGGCATTTCCCATCCGGAGGGGCGGGTTTCTGTTCCCCGAAGAAAACAGGGAATCCTGAGGTTCCCTGCTCGCCCTGCCGGTGGCTTTCAATAAGGTGCGACGATGGCCAACTTGGGCCCCTTGTCCTTTTGTCCCCCTAGACAATCTCTGGCCTAATTTGGGACAAATCCTCCACTGATCACGCCGCCCTCCCCCTCCTGTGTATCTCTGCGCTCCCTTAATTAGAAACTGTACCTCGGAATCGTGCCTCTCACCCCCGCTGCGTAAGAGGAGACCGCCTGACCCTCCACCTGGAGAACAATGTAATCCAACTCCGGCCCATAGATTTATCTCGGGGAAATCAGAAGGTGCGATGTGTCCGGTCATCCCGGATTCCCTCAAAGCGTCCAGCTCCCGGCCTAGGGAGCTCACCCCTTCCCACCTGGGGACCCACTCTCACTTTCCCTCGCCCAGAGCCTCGCCCCGCACCGCCGGACCTCTCCGCGGGACCCCGCGCCCCATACCTTTGTAGTGCACCCGCAGGTTGTTCTGCGAGAGGCCGATGTAGCTGAACTTGTCCTTCGGGCTCCAGGACCGGGGCAACGGCGTCTCCTGCTCGTCCACGGCCGGGTAGAGGCGCTTCAGCCGCCGCTGCAGCTCCTTCTCCTGCTCGTTGAGGGCCGAGTCGCCGTGAGGGAAGGGGGCCGCGGCGCTGCTGCCCGCCGCCAGGCCCGGGACGCCTGCGGCCGAGCCGGGGCCCGCGGCCAGGCCGGGTGGCGCGCTGGCGGGGGCGGCCGCCGAGGTGGGGGGCGGCGGCGCGGCGGTGGCCGGGGGCGGCGGCGGCGGCGGGTGGAGCAGCAGGGCGGCCGCCGCGGCCCCCAAGCCTCCGCCGGGCGAACCGGCTGGAGAGGAGCCGGCGCTAGCGGCCGCGGGTGCGGGCAGGGCGACTCCGGAGCCCGGGGCCCCGGCGGCGGGCGGCGGCGGTGGTGGCGGCTGCTGTTGCGGCGGTGGCGGCGGCGGCTGCCCGGACATCCCGGCCGCGACTCAGCCTGCGGCACCTCCACTCGTCCCTGCTTCCTCCTGCGCTTCCCGGGGGCGCTGTCGCTGCGGCCGCCGGCACCAGGCGCCCAGAGTCCGCCCGCCCCGGAAGCAGGCGGCGGGCCGCGCGGCCCGGCGGAGCGCGGCGGTTGAGGCGACCGGCCGCGGACGGGAGGCCGGGAGGCCGGGCGGGCAGGCGAACGCGAGGGAGCGTTAGACGGGAGCTGACGGGCGCGCGGCCCGGGGCGACGCGGTGAGACGGTGAGGGGCGCGGGCCGGCGGGCGGGCGGGCGGGTGCGCGGCCCGGGGCGACGCGGTGGAGCGGGGAGGCTGCTGAGAGGTGCGGGCGGCCGCGGCGGCCGCTGCTCTCGCGGCTGTTTCCCGGCGGGCGGGCGGGCGGCGCGAGACGCTGCGCGCGGGCGGCGCCAGGCGAAGGGGCGGGCCGCAGCGCGAGGGGCGGGCCGGGTGCGCGCGCGGACGGGCTCCTCGGCGGCCTAGGGCTGCCGGGCGCGGGCGCGGGGCTCCGGGGGCTGCGGGACCCTAGCTGCGCCCGCCCGGCAGCCCGCACGTCTTGTCGTGTTGTCCCTCCTCAGCCGCGGGGAGCCCGCGTCGCGCCGAGGCGAGAGCAATCGAGCCCCGCTGGGAGCTGGCCCCCGGGTTCCTAACGTCTTAGCGCTAGCCGGTCAATAAAGGGCCCTTGGAAACCATTTCTGAAGGCGAAGCCTCCTGCTTAAAATAGTGACTCTCCCACTAATTAATTAATTAGCTAGTTTATGAGGAGTCCGAGTGGACTTAGGACTACCAATCAAGACTGGCAGATCGTCAAAGGACAGGAACGCGAACTGCGTGTGCATTTGGAAAGGGATTCTGGAGACGTCAAAACATTTTATAAGATCGTTCTCATCTTAGGCCTCTTTGTTAGGTAGCAGAGAATTATGCCCATTTTTTAACGTGCAAATATTTACTGAGGTCAGCAGAGTTTTGTTTTTAAGGGACTGCCTACTTGACAGTTCTCAGTAGAGTGCTTGGTCAACTCATTTGGCACAATTTGCCAAGAGTTGCTCTCTGATCCCCACATAGCATCACTATTCTGTTTTCACACTTCCCTTTGTTTAGCTTACCCTTCCCTTAGCCGGCAAAGATCAGGCTTCACACATGTGAGCTACATGATACGCATTCTGATGCTGTGGTTGCTTCCCGAGATGATGGGGTGGTAATTATTGGGCCATATAAGCACCGAGTGTTTGGCTGAATGGAGAGAACTGGTTATTTTGTTTCTGAAGAGCATGGATCAATGGTGATTTAATTGAAGACTCCCATCGCGCCTGGCCAGAACTAGTAGTCATTCCGCCTAATTTCCATCTTAAATTACCCACACAAGACACTCCGTTGTTCTTTAATAAAAAATATCACAGAACTCTGACCTATGGTCTGAATTCTTCAAGTCACCGCGCTCTTATATGATGCCATTGAATTTAAAGCACACTAAAACTTACATTTATATAAAAATAGCAATGAGTTCAATGAAAGCCACGTTCTTCAGCGTCTTGGTAGCCAGGATGGAACATATGGGCTCCAAGCCTCGTCAAACTTTCTTGAAAGAATCATCAAGATTTTACTCATGGAATGTACTAATTTTTTTTGTCAGTTAGAACTTTTTACATATCCTAGGCATTGTTACAGGAATAGAGTTCTCTAAAACAATGTTGGAAGCTTTTCCTTGAAGGGACTGGTTGTCCTCCAGTCAGCCTCAAAAAAAAAAAAATAATGAAATGTGAGAAGACACTAAATTGGCACTTCCTCACATCAACAGAGGTAGAGAAATTGGCAATATCAGTTTGGTGGATATTTATGGGCGCAAAGGTAACCATACCTCTTTGGGCTAACCAGGCTAAGGAGAGGGCTCCGTTGGTAAAGAGCTTGCTGTACAACATGAAGACCTGAGTTCAAGCTCCAACACCTACATAAAAAGTGGGGTGTGGTGACCCACGCTTGTAATCACAGTGGAGAGGCGGGGACAAAAGAGTCCTTGGGACTCAATGAACAGCAAATCTAGCCTCTAGCCTGAGTTCCAGGACAGTAAGAAGCCCTGTTCCAAAAAGTAAAGTGGAAAGTTCCTGAGGAAAAACCAGAATCTAAAGTCTGGCCTCTCCGTGTGCTTGGGAGCACACACGCATACACGCTAAATAAATAAGTGGATAATAAAAAGTAGAAGCGAAGTAACAAAGCCAAGTGTGGAAATGTTAATGGTAGGTGAACATCTAGAGCAAAGGAAAGGCAGCCCAATATCAACAGACTAGAAGAAATTTTCCATATGCAATTTCTTTTTCTAAAAAACCCCCTTTCTGGCAATGGAATCGCCGAAAAAGAGCCAAGCAATTAGATAAAGGCACCACTCACCACCCCTCTCAAACGAGTCGGTGGATCTCAGGCCCAATTGCAGACACACTCCCTAGAGGCTTCTTGCACGGGCACAGGCTGAAACAAAGGTTTTATGGCCTTTTTAAAACGTGGCATTACCGACATGGAAAAATTACCATGATGTACTAAATGAAAAGAGGCTATCCAATAATTACAGTACTGTCCAAATAATTACCAAAAGACATGAAACAACATCATAAAATGTTTCAATGATAGACAATTAAAATATATAATTAAAAATAAATTATTACAAAATATTATAATTGTACATAGACAGCTGGTAAAAATCCATCATCCATGAACTTGATTGCTCTTCTTGGGCCTAGAGTTTTCCATCTTTATCATATATTACTGCATATTTCTGTTCAACCACGTCCGCTGAATTTCTCAGTAACAAATAACAAGAGCCAAATCTGGCTATCCTAAGCAGACAGAGTCCATTATAGGAAAATTGAATGTTCCCAGAATTGACCAGAAATCTGGACAACCAGAGAGACGAAGGTCAAGAAGAGTAGGCCCAGGCTCTGAACAGACACAGAAATCACCCCCCAAACACCACCTTTATGCCACTCTCTGTCTCTGACTTGTGATTTCCACACCACTCATCCACATTTCAAAGTTGGCAAGCACGCATTTCATGACCATGACAGTGACTACCAATAGACAGGCTGCCATCTTAAGCCAAGTGTTAGAGGGATGCTAACTTACTGATACCTTCAGCTCAGCACAGCCCTGCGGTGGTTGTAGTCCTCAGAGTCCACCCTCCAGACAGTATTCATTGAGTATCTGACATCTCCTTTTCTGACTATGACCTGTCATGAAGTGATCAATAACATACTTTTCTGGTGGGAAAAGGACCCTGGTATAGAGGGTCTTCAATACCAGGAAAGAGATTCAGGCACTGGCCAACTTCATGTATGTCCATGATAACATCCTTCTACGTACTGAAAATTGACACAAAATGTGTGCCAAGATCTAGAATATGAGTTTAGGGTTTGTATTAGTTATCAGTTGCTGGATAACAAACATCCCCAAATTTAGTGGCTGAAAATTTATTATTGAAAGTATCTATGGAACAAGTTTCTTCTGTCTTAGTTACTATTCTATTGCTGTGAAGAAACACCACGACAAAGGCAACTCATATATATAAAGAAAGCACTTAATTGGGGGCTCACTCACAGGTTTAGAAAGTTGATCCATGATCACCATGGCAGGAAGCAGGACAGCATGAAGTCAGGCATTGTGCTGAAGAAGTACTGAGAGCTTACAACTTCATCTGAAATTTGCAGTCTCACAGAGAGAGAGAGAAAAGGAGAGGGAGAGGGGAGAGACAGAGAGAGAGAGAGAGACAGAGAGAGAGAGAGAGAGAGACTGGGCTTGATGTGAGCTTTTGAAACCTCAAAGCCCAACCCCAGTGACATACCTCCCTCAACAAGGCCACACCTTCTAATCCTTTTCAAACAGTTCCCCTAACTGGGGACCATTACACATCCAAACATATGAGCCTATGGGACTCATTCTCATTCAAACCACCACACCTTCCCTGTGTCCTCTTCTTCAGACCCTATACTAGCTGGTTTAGTATGTCAATTTGACATGAGCTAGAGTCATCAAAGTGGAAGGAGCCCCAGTTGAGAAAATGCCTCCAAGGTGTTTTTCTCAATTAGTGATCAGTGGGGGAGGGTCCAGCCCATGGTGGGTAGTACCACCACTGGGCTGGTGGTCCTGGGTTCTTTAAGAAAGCAGGCTGTCGACGGGCGGTGGTGGCATATGCCTTTAATCCCAGCACTCGGGAGGCAGAGGCAGGCGGATCTCTGTGAGTTCGAGGCCAGGATGGTCCGACAGCCTCCAAAACAATACAGAGAAGCCCTGTCTCATAAAACAAAAAAAAAAAGAAAGAAAGAAAGAAAAAAAGAAAGCAGGCTGGCTTCTGCCATCAACTCTTACATTCAGAATCCTGTCCTGACTTCCTTCAATGAAGAGCAATATGGAAGTATAAGCCGAATAAACCTTTTCTCCCCTACTTGCTTTTTGGTCATGGTGTTTTGTCCCAGCAATAGAATCCCTAGCTAAGTCAGATCCTATCTCAGGCATTCAAACTGTGTCAGCTGTGACTGTGAGTCATCTTTTTTGTTTTGTTTTGTTTTTAGAGACAGGATTTCTCTGTGGCTTTGGAGCCTGTCCTGGAAACTCGTTTAGACCAGGCTGGTCTCGAACTCACAGAGATCCTCCTGCCTCTGCCTCCTGAGTGCTGGAATTAAAGGCGTTCGCCACCAACGCCCAGTGACTGTGAGTCATCTTAAGACTAGACTGGGGAAGGAGCTGCTCCCAAGATCACATAGGTGGTTATTGGCAGGATTCAGTTCTCTGGGTGCTGTAAGGACAATAAAGTTTGCAGTGGTCTTCAGAGTTGGCCTCTTCTAAATGACAGCTGGTTTCACCAAAGTGTGCATATCAAGAAGACAGCAGCACCAGGACAAACCCATGGTGTTTTGTAACCTAGCCACAGAGGTGACACCTTGTCACTTTTGCTGTAATATCTGGTAAAAGTAAGACACTGAGCCAGCTCACATTCAAGCAGAGGGACTTAGACACTACCATTTACAACAGAATTTGACATTTATGATGAGTTCCCATAACTCTTGGAGACTGCACTTGCTCCAAATTTCCACAAACAGATTCTAAACCCAAGGTTGACAAGCCTCATCTGCAATAAGCTATGTACTTAATATGTTAGGTTCTGTGGGCTACAGTGTATCTATTGAAACTACTCAACTTCACCATTGTGGATGAAATTAGTCACTGACAACATATAAACAAATGGATGTGGTTGTATGTCAATAAAACCCTGTTTTTTTCTTTACAGAAATACACAACCAACTGGACCCTACAGGATGTGGTTGGTGATACCTGATCTAGATCATTATACAACCAGAGCAGGTCACTAGGGGTGGAATTCCAGATACCAAGAAGTTCCGTTTATTACCCACACAGTATATGCTACAGCTGTACCCACAAAGTATACTGCACTTCTTCACTGGATGACCTTGTGCCACACCGGAATAGGCTTTGGACACTCTGCAGCTAGACTGACACAAATAAAAGAGGATACCAATAGCTATCCCAAGGTCTAAACTGGGGTTACTTTTCAATTTGCGTTTATTTTTATAATTTATTTTCTTTTATTTCATTTGCATTGGTATTTTGCCTGTATGTATGTCAGTGTAAGAGTGTCAGATCTCGGTGTTAGAGACAGTTGTTGGCGGCCATGTAGGTGCTGGGAATTGAACCTGGGTCCTCTAGAAGAGCAGCTAGTGTTCTTAACCACTAAACCATCTCTCCAGCCCTTCAATTTGTGTTTATTAAGTAACTGTTACACATACAGAATGCTGTGTTGGGTATGGAAGTAAAGATGAGAAGAAAAGGGGATTGTAGTGTAATATTTTGATCACATTCTGACAATGAAGTTTGCTTTGAATCAGAGGGCAGAACTAGCTACTAGCTGACTAAAACTAACCCTAGAGGTTTTGGAGGACTGAGGGCAGATAGAGAGACAGGAAGTAGGGGAGGGGGGCTTAGAGAGGGTCTCAGTCCTTTTGGATGGAGTAATGGAAGACATAGGAGGTCACTGGTCACTTTTCCACTGCTTCTCTGATCTTTCAGGTGTTTCCCCAGTATCTGACTCCTAATTGTTTATTGATAAAGATAATTAGATAAATGCATCAGGGGATTACAAGCAATATAGATGTCAGTCCGTGCACCAGGTCATAAGAAGCAAAGAAATACGTGGTTCTAGTCCAGGGGCAGATAGACCAGGGTCTAAAGAGGGAGGGTTGTGCATCTGAATTGCCATGTTGTCTTGGACAGAACACAAAGGTGGTACTGCTGGTTATTGCCACACACCAAAGGACAGTGTTGCTGAGGTCCAGGGTTCAGGGCAAAAGGGGTCTGCTGAGTCACGTGGGACAATGAAATGTGCTATTTCATATTCATGTTTTTAATGGACATAATTCAGGGTTCATGAAATAAAATACAAATGGAAAACCAGTTATTTTAGCAGAAACTGCATGTTTCATTCATCTGCTCTTGAAGATTTTGGACAAAAAAAAACAATATTGGATGAAATGGTTTGCATTAATAATGATACAACAAGTGAGTGCAGTCTCAACTTCCTGATTTCCATCTTTTTTCTTTCTTTCCAAACTCCTGTGGCTTTTCTCTCTTGGCAAAACTTACAGCCTCTTTTCCACATTGATGTCTATGTCCTTCTTGTTTGTTGCTAACTCACAAACAGAATGCACTCAAAATGGAACAGCCACAGGGAGCGGACAGCAAGAACTCATCTCCTCCCCGTACCGCTGGGTCAAAGGTCAATTCATGATGGAATTGTAGACAAGGAAGGCTGACCCAGAAAGTCTTGAGCCCCAGGGAAAGGCACCTGCCATCCTTGGAGGTGCCATAGTTAAGTAGATGCTCTCTTGTGCAGGCAGCCAAAGGCATTTTTAGGAAGGATGACACAGGAAAGGGGACATCAGAGCCAAAAATAGACAGTGCAGGGAGCAGAGGAGAAAATGATGGTGCTTTAGGGCCATGATAAATAGCTCTCCGACGTGCCAGCTATCATGGGGCTGTAACTTGCCTACCCACTGTGGGTTGGCCCCAAAAGTGGCCTGCATGCTTTTCATCAACTATCCAGTGCCAGATGGATGAAATACACACAGCAAGGAGTACACAGATGGGGGCCATTGGAAACTGAACCCAAGGCTTGGTGTTTGCTCTACCACTGAGCTACAATCCTAGACCCTAGAGGTAACACATTATTTTGGTTTCATTTTGCTCTGTGTTATTCAGACAGGATCTCCCTCTGCAGCCCAGATCCCACCCCAAAACACCATTTTTGAAATAACTTACCACCCATGCCATTAGGAAGTGTGTGATTTGTGGGAAAAAAACATAACTTACACAATTAGATTTTCAGAGTATAAAAAGCGCTCTAATAAAGGCAAAAGTGTCAGGCAAGCCAGGTATAGTGGTGGCTGTCCATCACCTCAGTACTGGGAGGGTAGTGAGTTCAAAGCCAGTTTGGGCTACTTATTAACCTGGCTCAAAGCAAACCAAAATGCCATGAGTGTCAGACTAACATCACAGGAGAAGGTATTCGCTAACATAACCCGTTATTTTGAGTAAATGAATTAATTCTTCAAGTTTTTTTGTATGTTGTTTGCAGCAAGGAGATAACTCATTTTTTTAAAGTCAGGATGCCCTCAGAGAAGGCACAAAATTAACTTGTGATTGAAGTACACAATCTGAAGTGATTTAGTGAAGCCATTTCAGAAATAATTTCTTTCATTATGGCTCTATATGCTTGGTAAGGTTTTAACAACTTTGTTTCCTTTAAGCGCCTTCAAAGATTCCTAAGGAGAAATATGTACAGCAATGTGTGAGGCTTTCAGAAACCTCAGTATTTCAAAGATGTTAAAACATCTGTATCGTCAGGCATTTGGTGGCACACGCCTTTAATCCCAGTACTTGGGAGGCAGAGGCAGGCAGATCTCTGTGAATTCGAGACCAGCCTAGTCTAAAGAGGGAGTGCCAGGACAGACTCCAAAGCTACACAGAGAAACCCTGTCTCAAAATACCAAAAACCAAAACAAAAAACAAAACCAACCAAAAAACAAAAACAAACAAACAAAAACTCTGTATCTTTAAAATGATAAGGCTCTTTCAAATACTTATTTTTCTGCTTCAGGTACAGGTGTGTAACATTAGTTATTTAAAGACCAGTAGCTATTGCTGTGGAGTTACTGATTACTGATAGTTCCTCAAAAACACCCTTTGTCATTGTCCACGTGGAAACTAGCTATAAGTAATACGTATGATAGATAAATTGCTCCACACAGGGCTTTGACATTCATGAGACATTCATTGAGTATTGAGTGGCTGGCTAGTTGATTCAACAATCAAGGACACACTTCCATGCAGTGTACCTTCCTCTTTACTCGTTGGATCCTTAGTGCTTGGTAAAATTATGTCAAGGACATTCTGAATCACTTCTAAGGTTAGTGTGACTATAAATGTTCATTGTGAGTGCATGCATGCAAGTACTGCCCTGATTAGATTTTGGTGTTTTGTTTGGAACACCCTTCTTTTTTTTTTTTCCGGTTTTACGAGACAGGGTTTCTCTGTGGCTTTGGATGCTGTCCTGGAACTAGCTCTTGTAGACCAGGCTGGTCTCGAGCTCACAGAGATCCGCCTGCCTCTGCCTCCCAAGTGCTGGAATTAAAGGCATGCGCCACCACCACCCGACTGGAACACCCTTCTTTTGTAGCCTAGCCTGGATGGAAACTTGGAATCCTTCTGCCTACACCTCTCAAGTGCTGGATTTACATGAGCACCAGCATTCCTGGATGTACTCTCTTTTTGTTTTTTTATTTCCTGTGTTAATGTGATTTTGTGTGTGTGTGTGTGTGTGTGTGTGTGTGTGTGTGTGTGTATACATGTGTGAGTATCTACATGTGCTTGCATATGAAAGTCTGAGGCAAGCTTGGTCACTCTTTATTGCAGCAGAGTCGCTCGATGAACATGGAGTGCACCTATTCCAGCTAATCTAGATAACCAGCTTGCCGAGGCCATCCCATATCTCCGCCTCCTGAGTGGTGGAATTTCATGTGGCCACCAGTCCTGCCCAACTTTTATGTCGGTCCTAGGGATCTAAACACTGGTCTTCATGCTGGAACCCCATGTGCTATATCCACTGAGCCACCTCCCACCCTTCCCCGGATTATATTCTCTCTTTGTATCATCACACACACATTTCGATGTCCATGCCAATGCCTAGAACCTGTGAAAAGGGGCGTGGTGGATGTGCTTGTGCACAAGTTGAAAGGGGACAATCCTGGATTGTCCTGTGAACTCTAAATCTCATAACAGGTGCTATTATGAATAGGGCAGAAGGAATTCTGAGACCGAATATAGAAGATACCCATCTGTCACTGTTCTATTGCCATGACAAGACATCATGACCAGGGCAACTAACTTATAAAAGAAAGCACTTAATTTGGGGCTCGCAGTTCCAGAGGATTAGAGTCCATGACCATCATGGTGGGGAGCATGGCAGCAGGCAGGCCGGCCGGCATGGCCCTGGAGCAGTAGCTGAGAGCACACATCTAATCCGCAATCAGGAAGCAGAGAGAGCTAACTGGGAATTAACGATGTTAGCTTTTGAAACCTCAAAACCCACCCCCAGTGACACATCTACTCTAACAAGGCCATACCACCTAATCCTTCCCAAAACAGCTCCACCAACTTCAGAACAAACATTCAAATATATGAGCCCTTGGGGGCCAGTCTCATTCAAGCTAGCACCAGGGGTTCTCAACCTTCATGATGCTGTGATCCCTCAGCGTAGTTCCTCATGTGATGGTGACTCTTAATCACAGAATTATTTCATTGTTACTTCATAACTGTAATTTGTTACTTCATAACTGTAATTTTGTTGTCGCGGTGAATCATAATATAAATATCTGCTATTCAGAGTGGCTGACATGGCATCCCTATGAAAGGGTTGCCCCACCCCCCAAGCAGTCATGACCCACGGGTTGAGAATTGCTGACATACACAGAGGAAAAGGTCATGGTAAGGTGGGTGGGACAGACATGTGGCCATAGCCAATAAATGCTCCAGCCACCCAACCCAGAGGAGGCAAAGAGTGGTTCTTCCTGTGGTGCTGGAGTGAGTGTGTCTTTTGACAACTTGATTTTGGATGCCCAGCCTTCTGAATTCTAGTAGAGTAAGTGTGTATTGTAGTAATCTGTTAAGGAAGGCAAGGAAAACTAGAATATAGACAAGTACACCTCATGTTGTGTAGGTTCAGGGTTGGGGGCACAAAGTTGTGAGAACATCAAGTACTCCATTGCAGAAGGTAAAGTGAAATAATAGCCATATTCCCCCATCAAAACTGTGATGCCTTTCTTTTAAATGGACTTTTCTGTAGACACAGAGGCAAGCGTGCCACATAAATTATAAATCAAGTCTCTTTCTTGTCTTCATAATATTCTCTCTCTTTCTCGTCCATATTTCAGTAAAGAGACAGGTTATATAAGTATCTGGGCTAGTGGGAAAGTAATTGTCTGATTGAGATGTGAACTGGGAAGTCCTACTAGCGGAGGCCTAAAGGCCATAACATCTTTTAGGACACCACTGGAAGGTCTCCATGGCTGCTGAAGCACAGTTATTAACTTTGAATCATTAGATGCCTCACACCACATCTCCCCACTTAGAAACCCAACCTCCTCAGGATATAGTCATGTGCTGCCAGGCGTTCCGAATCAGGTTTCTAGAACACCAGCGTCTGCCACGGAACGCCTGATAGAAGTGGTTGAGAGAGGGCTCCCAAGTTCCATCTGAAGAAGGGAAAGGAAGCAGGGGTAGTGAGGCGTGGGGAAGAGTACAGCCAGGCACAGACATACACTCAGGAAGTCTGCCTTCAGCCTCCCTGCCAGGGAGCTCATGAGCACACACGCATCACATAATGTCCCTCCTCCCTAAGACAGAGCCCAAACCCTTATAACCTGTACTAATTACTCATTAGCTGCAAGCCATATCACTCCCTGGGGTGGCACAACATCTCTGAATGTGTGGCTAAGGAGCCTTTGGCAACCAACACTCCCAGAAGCCTTCTGGTACTGCTCGGAGTGCCAAGGGCTTTCAAAGGGGTGTATGTGTCACCTACTTCTAACATTTATTTAAAATTCTGTGCCTAATTTCTAATACCATCTCAAAGGGTACATTTGCTTAAGATATATCTGAGAGAGAATTATGAAGAAAAAAAAGAGTCACAAATATTGCTGAACAGAGTTGGAATTTCATGAGTCTTGCAACTCCTATCAGGGAGATACATTCAGCAAATATTTTCACATTTTCATACAGTAACCAGCTTTTAAAATGCAAGTTATAAAGGAGTTTGTGTGATGGCTAATCTTGGTCGTCACCTTGACACACCTGACAAGAGGGAATTTCAACTGAGGAATCGCCATCTGGTTGGTCAT